TCAGGAAACAAGAGTGAGCACGAATTAAATTTATGGGTTTACCAACCATTTTTGACTCGGGGGTATATATTCTTTTTCAAAAAAAAAAAAAAATGAACGAAAAGAAAAGAATAATATAATAGTAAAAAAAAAGAATACATTTTTATGAGCAGTGCTTATTTCTGATATAAATTATACCGCAATTTCTTTTTTTCCCCTTCTTCGATTTTTGAAACACATGTGTTTTTATTATTTTTCTTTTATTTTGACTTTCGAATTCTTTCGAATATTTTTCTTCGTGTTAAAAATTTTATGATGGAAAAAAATTCGATTCTTTTGGTTCGGGGAGACAAAAATTTGATCCTTTTGTTTTGGCAAGGGAAACATTTTTTTTTTGAATAAATAAAAGTTTTTGAAATTTTAGTAAAGAGAAGAGAGAAATTTCAAGAAGAAAAAAAAATTGTTTTATTAACTGCACTAGATGTTATTAATTAAAAAAGGAATAAAAAGAAATCACAATAATATTTTTACGCATAAATAAATATTTTGTTGTTAATAATGAAATTAAGAGATAGTAGATACTAATTAAATTTTTTTATAAATGGTTTTAATAAATTTTGTTATACTAAAGAATAAATTATTTATAAATAGTATAAATAAATTCTTGATAAAAATAAACAAATATTTTGGCGATAATTAACTACTAAATAATTTATTTCTTTTCTTTTGTATTAGTAATTTATTTAATGCAAAATAAATAATTTATTGATAGTAATAAATAATTGATAAAATTAAAAATAAATTTTTTGATAGCAACTTAGCAACTAATAAATAATTTATTGAAACAAATAAATAAATAATTATAATAAATAAACAAATTATAAATTATAATATAAAATATTTATACTTAATTATTAATTTATTTACTAGCAACTATTCGCGAGGCTAACTTCTTATTACCCTTTTTAAATAAAATTAGCAATTTTAAAAATAATAGAATTTAAAAATTTTCTAATTAAAATTTTTGTTGTAAACACTAAAAAAAATTCAATTTTGGAGAAATTACAAATAATTTCAAAAATTCAATTATTTTCATAAATGTCAAAAAAAATTCTTGTTCTAATTTCAATTATTTTCAAAAATAAAATGCATTTTTCTAATTTCAATGATTATCAATATCTACTATTTTAATAAAATTTGCCAAAAAGAATTTAATTATTAAAAAAAAATTTTAATAAAATTGTATGCAAACATTTAATTATTTTCATAAATAATAAAAATTTCACAAAAATTCAATTATTTTTATAAATAATAAAATTTTTTGAAGGAATTAAATTATTATTTTCATAAAAAATAATTTTGAATTCTAGAAAATAATAATTGAATTAAAATGATAAAAATAATTTTGATGAAGTTACAGTAAAAATATTCTTATGATATAAAATAATGATTTTATCTCTCGGTCATCTTTAAATATTAGAAAACATGAAGAAATCGATCACTCCGAGTCATCGACTCGGAGCAATCGATATCTTCATGTTTTATAATAATACTTTTATAATTATTTGTTTAATTTAAAAAAGGTTTGAATTTGAAATTTTTTAATGTCTTAATTACTGTGGAAAATCCTGTTCCAAAAATAAGATTAAAAATAGAAATTGTGCAAATATTTTTCTTCTTTTTCTAAAACAAAATAATAATTTTGCTATAAAAAATTATGATTCATAAACAAAAATAATGCAAAATAAATAAATTGTCTATTTCTTAATCACAGTTGTTTAACAATTTTCTAATTTGTAATTTAAGGAATTAAATTATTTTCATTAAAAATAATTAAAAATTGTAGAAAATAATAATTGATTTGAAATGATAAAAATAATTTTTAAAAAGTTACTGTAATAATATTCTTATAATATAAAATCGGAGCAATCGCTATCTTTGCATGTTTTATAAAAATATTCTCATAAGTAATTGAATTTAAAAAGATTTGAATTTAAATTAATATTTATTTAAAAAAAAAGTTATTGATGTTTTCTAATAATTTTACAATTAAAGAAATTCATAAATAAATGTAACAGAACATTTTTTTGAGTAAAACTTTTTCCTCTATTTTCTAAAAATTTTAAAAGTTTCAATTAAAATTTATAATTGATAAATAGAATAGAATATATGTATAATGTTTCTTTTCCAAAAGAAAAGAATGAGTTTCTGAACAATATTGTTATTGAGAAATATGAATTACACATAAAATGGGTATATTTTCTATTTCTTATTTATAATTTTTTTAACAATTAACAATTTTCTCATATTTTTTATAAATAAAATAGAGGAAAATTTGCATAATTTAGATCAGTGAAACGAAATTTATTATAGAAAAAAGCATATAATAAACAAAATGAGAATATTTTTTATTTGTTAAGGGCATTTGAACCATGATGACGTCACAGATTTAAAACTAATGCTTTGCACAAACTGTGATGTCATCAAGGTTCAAATCCCCTTAATCATAATTTTTTTTATATTTTCTAATTTTAAATATTGTTTTATTATAAATCATGAAAAAATACTTGAATTTTTTCGATTTGTCCAACAATATTTTTTAAATAAAAAAAAAAATAAATAAATAAAAGCGTACACAAAAACTAACTTCAAAGTGTGGACAGACAGAATGAAATACAAAGATTATTATAGTTAATAATTTACTAATAATAAGTTTATTATTTTTTTTTCTTTCGTTTTCCGTTTTTAATTTGTTGTAAAAATTATTCATCACAAGTTTATTAATATTTATTAAATTAGGGGCAGTTCAAAAAATACGTAACGCTTACAGAGGGGAGGAAGGGGGGTCAGATATTTTTTGAACGGCCGCCTACTTAGTTAATATTTATAAATAAATTAATTAATTACTAAATAATTATTACTAATTCTCTTTGCTTTGAAAAAACAAAAAAAAAAAAAATTTTTTTTCCTGCGAAAAAGAGCAGGAAATAAAATGTAAAAATGCAAAGGAGTATAAATATATATCTATATAGCTGGCAACGTGGCTCGAGGCGCCGCGACGCCCAACAAGCTCTTGATAGGCGCCTGATATGGCGCCTGTGCGTCTCTCGACCTGAAAGTCCATATCACACAGGTGTGGCGTCGCTCGACTCTCTACCCTCTCATCGCACTCGACAAGACACAACACTTGACCAATATAGACAAATAAGAAAGGAGACTTTGGGAAAATGGCGAAAATTAAGGACGCGAGGGCTTTAATGATCGTCATCTCTTCGACGAGTACTGCCCACCTGTCGCTCAAATGCTTGTCGCGGCTCGGTCGCAACGGGTTACATTATCCGGCCAACAGAATCTGATAAGAGGTCTATTTTTCTGAGAGTGTGTGTATATATATACAGAAATAAAAAGCTCTCTTCTGGGTACGGGAAAGCTCTGACGTCACATTCCGTTTGACGGGCAAGTGACGTCATCCCACCGTCAGTGACGCCGCTGCAAGCTCTCTCACACTCCTCGCTCGCCGTCTGATCACACTCTGACCACTACTACTTTACATCTCGCTTTACATGACACACAATATTTGTTTGCAAAATTTACATTTTTTTATACGTTTGCTTTTGTTTTTTTTTTTTTTTCTATTGACACGAATAATCTATTTTATTTTATTTACTTTTCTACATTAAAGTTTCAATTGCCTTCCATTAATAATCCAGAAAATAATTTATCAAAATTAATTTTAATTAATTGATTTCGATAAATTTTTAAATTTGAATTTTATACATTAAATTCGAATTCGGTTAATTTAAATTTTTTTTTTTTTTTTTTTTTTTTTTTTAAGCAAACAGGGAATATATTTTAATTTGATTTTTAAATTAAAAATTTCTGTATTTTACTCTCTGTAAAAGATACTCTATCTGTATTAGTAAAAAATCATTCACTAGTATAAATTAGTAAATAATTTTCACAAATATTTTGTTAGCAGAACTTTACTATTATTCATTTAATATTCTTTGAATCTGATGTAAATCTAATGTTAATAATTATTAATAATAATTTTACTAATATTAACAATAATTAATCTAATTCGATTGAATCTAATTATTAATGAGAAATAATAGTTAGATTAGTAACAATTAGTATAATATAATTGAAACTAGTTAATAATAATTAATAATAAATAGTTAATAAATAAATAGTTAATAATAATTAATTAAAAATAATTAACAATAATAATTTTACCAATATTAATAAATTAATCTAATCCAAGTGAACCTAATTAGTAATAAATAATAATTTAATGGAAACTAAATAGTTAACTATTATTACTAAATATTAATAATAATAATTACTAATTGATTACTATTAACAATAATATTTATTTATTCATTTTTTTATGTAAATGTTTATGTATAATATAAATATTATTATTATTAGTAATAATTAATATATAATTGAACCTAATTAATAATAAATAATTAATCATAATTTTTAGTAAAATTGAACTATTTCGTTTGGTAGTTCAGTTTTTCTTACTACTATTTTTTAAACAGAAAATGACTAAAATTTGACGAAAATTTTTAATAGTTTTAGTTAGTGAACAACTTTTTATTAATTGCATGGAATAATAACTATAAGAAAAATATAATAAAAAATGTTTTTAAATATATAATAAAATGAATATAATAATATAAAATAATGAACCAAAAAAATAAGTAATAATAAGTAATAAAAATAAGTATAAATAAGTAATAAATAAAAAAATAAAAAAAATAATAATAGATAATAATTAGTGACAAAATCTGAATCTTACTGAAAAAATATTTTAACAGACTGATTGAATTTTTTTTTTTTTAAATTAGAAATTAGTTGAAGAAAAATTCTCTGAAATTGGAAAAAAAGTTCATCGCTCGATTTAACGATATTGAATTAGGTTATCGGATAGACAAATAAATTTACATACATACTTTATGAAAATCTTGCTCTATATATAAAGCATTATTTCAAGAGATAATAAAATAGTTTTCTTGTCACCGCAAACAATTAAAGTATATATTCCACGTCCTACAATGAATCGAATAATTTCAATTATATTTTCTGTCTGTATTTTTCAGGTAATTCTTTTTATTCCAACGATAAATTGCAAATATTTACATATTTTGATATAAAAGATTGATTTTTTAAAAAGAAAAATTTAAAAGCTAAGAAAAGGAACGAAAAAAACTATTAAAAATTTATTTTGTTTAAACAATAAATTAAAACTTTGAAAGATTTTTTCAATTTTGTTTTCTGTAAATTAAACATTGCATTTAAGCGGAAATAATTTTGCAATAATTATTTTCAAAAGTTTAGTGTATAATTTCGAATTTTCAACGATTTTATTAATAAAAAAAAAATTAAATAACATAATACTTAAAATAAATAAATAAATAAATAAATAATAATGAAGTAATGAAAATAAAAAGAAAGTAAAAAGAAATTAAAATGAAATAGAAAAATGAAAACAAATTATAAAAAAAACTAAAAATAAAATAAAAAAAACTTTAAATAAAATAAAGAAATAAAAATAAATTATAGAAAAAATAAAATAAAAAATATATGTAACTGAAATAATAATTATTTTTTTAAATTATAAATTCGAAATTCCACTGTAAATTAACAAAAAATTGTAAAAATTTTCAGACAGCTGTAAAGTCATATAATATTGATGAAATGGAATATAATTTAGATGACTTAAAATATGACGTGATAACGATAAATCAGACTGTTCAAGATTACAAGGAATCTATATTTTTATTGTTAGCAACAAATTACGAGCTAATGGAAGACACAATAAAAAACGAATTCAAAAATATAACACTTTCGAAATTATCACAATTACAGGTATTAAATTTTCTTTAATTAAATTTTATTCAAAAAATATTTACAAGGGAAAAAAAATTCTCCAAGTTAATTGTTTATTTTTCTATTTTATGTGTTTGACACATAATTTTTTCCAAATTTCTTATTTTTTTTACAGAATGAATACGGAATTTTGGACATTGAAAACGTTAAAGAACCACTGAAAACATGTTTTGCAAATAGATCATTGGCGTGGGCAAAAAAATTCAAAAAATGTATCACAAAATTGAGACAATGTGCAGTAAATATTGAAATTATGAATTACATGATTCCAATTCAATCGTACGATTTATACTTTGTTGATGTACGTATATTTTTTTGATTAAAAATTACTTAACATATTTAATTACTGTAAAAATATTAATTAATACTTTATTAATAACAAAATATTATCAACTATTATTTTAATATTATTATAATTAATAATAATTTTATTAATAATTAATATTTCAATACAAAAATTTAATGGCAACTAAAATAATTTGCATACCTATTAATTAACAAAACCATATATATATATTGTTTTCTTTTTACAGACTGTCAATAATTTAGAATTGGGAATAAACGAAGAAATTTTTGGAAACTATGAAAAAAAAAATTACAGTAAAATTTTAACAAAGGAACATTATATGGAATTAAAGAGTTCTGAATTAAATATCCTCGTCGATGGTCTAAAAGGTCTATCGCAAAATTTAATAAAATTACTAACAAGTGCCAGAGAAAATGTTTTGAGTGAAACAAAACAATGCTCATTTGAGGCAAACCAAGATTTAAATGACAAATGGCGTATTAGTGAACGACTATTAACCAATTGTTTTTTACAACATAATCAAACTAATTCAGAAAATAATTTGTAAAAATAAAAAAGAATTAATTGAAGGGTTTTTAGTTCCACTGAATTTAGATTTTTGTTAAATAAATAAATAAATAAATAAATGAAATTGTAACACTAATAATAATTTAAATATTAATTATAATTAAAATAAATATTTTATAATCATAATTTAATTAAATAGTAATAATGTCATCACCTTCGACTATTAATATAATTAAATATTTTATTAATATTATTAGAGACTTTATGAATAAAATTAAAGATTAAATAAATATAAAATTATTAATTAAAATATTAATTAAAACAGAAATTATTAATTAAACAAAAACTATTTTTATAAATAATATTAAATATTTTATGAACAGTAAAATTTATTATTTGAAATAAAATGTAGTAAATAACAGAAACAAATTAAAAAATGTAAAAATTAACATACTTTACAAACTGTAAAACAAAATTCTTCCAAATACCCAATTTTTGTTAAAATCTTGAAATCGAAATTTTTCCCAAAAATATAAAAAAGAAATTGTCTATTGTTAATTTATATTATCGAGAATTGAAAACATAGCAATGTAATACTTTTCTTAAAGTATGAATAAATTTTTTAATATGAAAGAAGAAAAATCTTGTGAAAAGAATTTAATTTAAAGCTTATTTTTTTGAATAAAATGACTAATTTACATAAATCAATTCACTATAGATATATATATACACAAGTCAATGTAATATGTTTTATAAAGAAATTAGTGTCTTTAGCGAGTTAAAAACTACAAATATACATTAAAAAAAGAAAAATGAAAAAAGTGATTTTATTTGTAATTCTCGTCAGCTCTTTTCAAGTGAGTTTTTTCATTTTATTTTGTTTTTTGATTATTTAAATATGTTTATTATAAGATTATTTTATTTTTTTTAATACTGTTTTGATACTAATTTTAAAATTAATATTTAATAATTAATAGTGAAAATTTTTTTTTTCACTACAAATTATTCTGGTCAACAACAAAAATACTTTTTTTAATATTAATAATTACTAATTAGTAATTAGTAATTAATAACTAATAATTAGTAATTAATAATTAATAACTAGTAATTAAAATTTGAAGCAATAAAAAATAAATAGAAAAAATATTAATATTTACAAAAAAAATTATTTTTTCTGAATAATTATTTATTTAAATAAATATTATTTATAACTAACAATTAAATATTTTCTAAAATACAGGCTTCGTTAACTAAAGAAAGTGACAGAAATGGTATTCTATTGAAATTAGAAACGATACAAGACGAGATAAAAAATGCAATAACTGATTTAAAATCATTCGAGATAATTGAATTTGAAAAAATCTATCAATTATTTGGACAACATGATTTGAATTTGACGAGAAGTTTTCGAAATATCAAAAAAATGATTTACTCCGAAATTAAAGTAAGTTTTTCTCACATTAATTGAAAAAGAAAATGTAACCAATTTTTTTTCTCCCAATAATATAAATAATACAATTATTTACAATTTTTAGATCGAATATAAAAAATTGAATGCAGTGAATGAAAATTCAACTGATTGTTATAAAATTGCTCAACGCAATATGAACGATATTTATGAAAATAAAACCGAATTGCTGGGAATGTGTGAATTCAAATCATTTTTCCTTAATTTCAGTCCAATTATGACTCATGTCAATTTTACATTACAGGTAATGCTTTAATTCATTTTCATTTTTCTTTGATATTGAAAAATATTTGAAAGAAAAAAATATTTAAATATTAAAACAAAAAAATTTGAAGTATTAAAAACTATAATAAAAAAACATTGAAATAATTTAAAAACCAAAATCAAAAAATAAATACTTCTTTTGGTGACTAATTTAATTCCATGTAATGAAAATTAATATTTTAATTAGCAACTTACAAAATTATTAATTTATTTCTACAGAATCGATAATTATTTTTTTTTATTTTTTTTTATTTATAATTATAATTATAAAATTTAATTATAAAAGTAATTATAAATTATTATTATTATTATTATTATTTTAATTAAAAATTGAATTAATTAAATGAAAAATTCTTCTAAATATGTGAAATTTGATTTTAAACTTTTTTTATTCTCTAGGTGTGTGAAAATTTATTAATGAGATTCGATTCAATGCAAGAAGAACGTATTGTAGTTATTAAAGATTCATCACTAGAAATGGCGTATTTGAAGAGCAGTTTATCTGGAATTGAAATTTTAGCAAATAATTGCAGAAATCTTATTCGAGATGTGAAGAAAATGGTTCTTGATTTATCGGAAAAAGCTGTTTTCAATATTCAAAATTGTGCTGAATCCTTGGAGAAATCATTACTCGACGAATCAAAAAGAATAAAGGAAGATTTTCAATTTTGTATAAAAAAATAATTAGAAAATTTATCAAAAAATGAAAATACTGTTTGAAAAATAATAAATTATTATAATAAAATAATTAATATAATAAATAATTAATTATAATAAAATAAGAAATTATTAAACATACATTAACATAAATTTTTTATTTTTCAAAAATATGAATTTAAATTGTATACTTTCAATATATATTCATGGGAATAGAACTATGAAGCACGTGTATCAAATTTATGAAAATAAATGATAATTACAATCAATGATTAATGTACATAAATTTTAAATTAGTTTTAAAAAAATTCTAAATTATTTTTCACAGAAACGAAAAGGAAAAATATGGAAAATTGATTAACATTACATTAATTAAAATAAAAATAATAAAAAATTGAATTCTTTAATCAATTTCAAAAAATTCGAAATTATTTTTCACAGAAACAAAAGAATAAACTATAATTATATAATTATATAATAATTTATATAAAATTTATTAACAGTAAATTAATTAAAATTAATTACTTAAATAACAATCATGAGAAATTATAAAAAATCCTTTGTATACAAAAAAAATTTTTCCTTCGACTAAATAATGTTGTTGAACTGCAAATACGTTTAATCAATAAGAATAATAAACATCACGTTTTATTGAATTAAAAAAGAAAAAAACTGTCTGATAATGATTTCTTTTAAAATAACATTTCATTTAAATAATAATGCAAAACATTTAAACAAAGAAAGCAAGCAAAGACTATTTTTTGTACACTTTAGTCGAACATTATATTTTTATTGTTAACATTAAAATTTGTAAATTCTATGATTTGTGATTGTAATAGAACACTTAACAAATAAAAGAAAAAAAATATGTTCTTATTATTATTGAAATTTATTTAAAAACACATTTATTAATTTTTAATGGAAATTTTTTGTTAAATACATTAATTTTCATTCTTATAGAATTTATAATTTTAAAAATGTTTTATATATTAATTTTGACAGTTGTTTTTTTCTGTATAAAACGGAGAGAATCAAATTTTTAAAAATCAGTATTAAGTATTAAATAAAAGCTGATAATTTAGAAATAGAAAAAATTTGTCAAAAATGAAATATTTTATTTTTGCTTTTCTTCTTGGTTTCGTTCAGGTAAGTTTATACGCTTTTCAAAACAAAAAAAAAACATAAGAAGATAAATAAATTATAAATAATAAATAAATAAATTTATTTTGAAAAAGAATTTAATTTTTCTAAATACAAATAAGAAAATAAATAATAAATATAATTGACTCACAAATAATAATTAATCATAACAAATAAATCATATTCCTTTCTTTTAAAAGATAGCATTTGGATTTCCTCAAAATAACAATCATGAGGAACAGAATAAAAATGTTATAAGTGAAATACAATTTAACGTGAAAAAAATAATTGTCGATTTCAAAGAGTTTTCAACTAGTGTTAAAGAAAATTTACAAAAATATTTTGATCAAGAAGATAAAAATGTTCCTGAGCAATTACAAACATTGAAACATGACATTTTCAAAGAAGTTGAGGTAAATTTTTATTTTTAGAATTTTTTTCTCTATATGTATATTCTTTCTTTCTACAACAATAATTTATAACAAAAAATTAAGTTTATTAACTTTCATAAAAAGTGAATGCTTAATAAATTAATTTTAATTCCTATGAATTTAGGTTGAGATATTGAATGATGTAAACAAAGAGGAAAATCTTTGTTACATAATTGCAAAAACTAATATCGAAACAATACTTCAAAATAAAACACAAAAAATTCGACAATGTCAATTTGATGAATTATTATTTGGTTTTTCTCCAATTTACATAAATATGAATGTTACTCTCAAGGTACGTACAATTGTTATTATATTTAGAAATTTTAATCGACAATTATTATAATAATTCTTATAATGAGAATTACTTTTAAACTATTAATAATAAATAATTATTAATTATTAATAATAAAAACAATAGTTCACTAAAAAATTGAATTAATAAATTACAATAATTAAATTAATACAATTAATTAATCAATTAATTAATTAATGTTTATCAGTTAAAAGAACTGATTTATTAACTAATTAATTTGTTATTAAATTAAACACGTTTATCTTATTAATTATTATCTTATTAATTAATTAATACGAAATTCTTTAACTAATTTAATTAACTAATTAATTATAATTAACTAATTTAATTAATTAATTAACTAATTGGGCAAATAGTAACAAATTAATTACTAATTTTAATTAACTATTAACTTATTGTGTCTTAATTCTTAAATAAATTGTTATTTATTTTTTATCATTATTATTATTACTATTATTATTTAAATAATAGAATTTTTGCTATTTATTCATTAATTGGAAACTGATAAATAAATTATCAACTAATTAACAAATTAGTAACTAATTAAAAAACTAGTAACTAATTAAAAAACTAGTAACTAATTAACAAGGTAGTAACAAATTAATAATCTAGGGACTAATTAATAAACTAGGGACTTATTGATAAACTAGTAACTAATTAATAAATTTGTGAATAATTAACGAATAGGATACTAATTTGGGAATTAATAGCAGTCAATTTGTAATTGTAAAAAAAATAAGTATTTAATTGCATAATATAATTAACTGATTATTTAAATAAAATTAAATATTTATTTCCAGATGGGTTATGAGCTAGTTGATAATTTAAACTCAGTGAAGAAAAGCTGCGAATATGTTGAGGATGAACCAATATGCCTTTCTAACACTAAATTAGGAGTCGAAATACTTGTCAATAATTTAAAAAACAGTATAAATCAAATGACACAATTAGCAAATGAAGCATACAATTCAATGCTGTCCAAAATGGAAGAGTGCAAAACTAAAGAAATTAAGGGACTAAAAGAAAAATTTCATCTAATTAAAAACAATGCCAACGGTTGTTCCTCAATTATTTAATTGTTTTTAATAAAAATATTAATATTAAATTATTCAAATTTTTTTTAATTAAATATTTAAAAGAAGAAAAATTTAAAAAATTTAAAAATATAATTTTTTTATAAATGTAATAAATATCAATACATTACTTTTAAAATACAACATAAATTACCTCAAAAAAACAGGAGAAATCCTCAACGAATTGCTGAATAAGAATTTTTAAAAAATTTCTCAATGAAAAAAAATTTTATTAAAAAAAACGACAATTTTTTAATAAATTATTCAAAATATATTTATACAATTTATTTGATTTAAATAAAAATTATTTGATTCAAATAACTTTTATTATTTTTATTCAAAAGTTTTTCGGATTTTCTAAATTAAATTATTCAAAACTTCAATACTTTTTGTTAAACAAAAATTTAAAAACTTATTCTTATTTATTTCTCCACAGCAATTAAAATTTCAAATAATTTTAATGAAAAAGATCATGAAATTTAATTCTTTCGAAAAATTGCAACTGAAATTCTTCCAAAATTTAATTATTTTTTTTTTAGATTTTTTGATTCCCTTAAATTTTCAAAGAATTAATTAAAAATTTTTTTTTAAATTTAATTAATTCCTAAAATTTCTGTTGTAACACTTTAAATATTCAATTATTTTCTAAAATTTAAACTGAAATTTTTTTAAATCAATTCCTATTAGAATTCAACGACGGGAATTGAATTATTTAAATAGAATAATTTTTGTAAATTCATAAAATAATGTATTTTCAAAAATACAATTATATTCATAGGTAAGTTTTGAAGATGAAAAAATAATATTCTTTAAAATATAAAATTTTACAAAATTTCCAATTGTTTAAATTTGTAAAAATTATTTTCGGGAATTCAAGTATATCTTCAAAAAAATTTTAATTACCTACTATTTTTCAAAAACCTAATTTTTTCAGAATTTCCAAATTATATCTTTGAAATTTCAAACATTTTTGTAACATTTAAATTTAAATTTAAATACAAAAATGAATAATTAATTGTTTTAAAAAATTGCAACTGTACCTCTTTATTATTGAGTTTTTGAAATTGGGGTTAAATTTTCTTACTTTACATCCTCTACTTATTTTATTATTTACAAATAAACTGTCAAACTTTTGACATAACAATTCGAACTATAAAACAACAAAAATTATTTACAAATTTTTTGTAAATTTCTTTACAATAATTTAATTATTTTCATAAATAATAAAATTCTTTTTACGAATTCAATTATTTTCATAAATTAAACTCATTGCAAAATTTTAATTATTTTTGATACAATTTTAATCGAATTTCTCGAAAAATGTAATTGTTCTTAACAATTTTTATAAAAAACGTCAAAAGAAATCAATTATTTAAAAATGTTTTGATAAAATAAAATTCTTTATGAGAATTTAATTTTATGAAATATTTAATTATTGAATAAATTATTTATTATTTATTTTTGCATATAAATAATTGAATTATCGTAAAATTTTCTAATAAAAATTGATTTAAAAATGAATTTCAGTTAAAATTTTAGGTTTGAATATTTATTATTCAAATTATTTAAATATTCAAATAATATTTGAATATTAAAAGCATTATAGCATGAATTATACGAAATAATTGAATTTTGAAAAGGTTTCAAATTAAATTCTTTGATAATCTTAATAAATAAAAATACTTATAGTTATACTTTCATACTTATAACCAACAATTCTGTAGAATTAATTATTTTGAAAAAGTTTAATGGAATTTTTTTCTGAAATTATTTAAAGTGTTTATTTTTTAATACGTATTCAATTGAAGAATTTCTGAATAATTGAAATTTCGTAAATTTGAATTGTAAACAAATGGATTTGAAAATTTTCAAAGAACTTTTTCAAAAATTATTAAAGATAATTAATTTAAAGAAGAATTTTATTTAACAAATCGAGAAAATAATAATTGAATTAAAATGATGAACAAAATTTTAAAAAAGTTACAGTTAAAATATTTCTATAATATAAAATAATGATCTTATCACTTGGTTATCTTTAATTTGTTATAAAACATGAAGACATTGATTTCAAAAAGGTTTCAATTTGAAATTTTTGAAAATCTTGATTCCTGTGGAGGAATATAATAATGATTAAATATTTATTTAGAAAAGAAGTTATTGATGTTTTCAAATTATTTTACAATCGTTTTTAAAAGAATAGAAATTTTGTAAATATTTTTTCTAAAATAAATTTAAAATTTCTTAAAGAAAATTTGATTTATAACATTTTTTTTTTTTTTTTTACTTAAAACTTGTACTTTGTTTATGAATTGTAATTGAGAGGCAGAAAATGTGAAAAATTTTTTCTACTTTCTAATTTTTTTTTTTTAGAAAAAAGGAAAAAACAGCTGCGCATAATTTCGATTTGTCAAAGAATTAAGTTTTTCATATTAAAAAAAGGATAATATTTTGTAGAATTTACATTTTTTAATTACCTAATTTTTTGTTACAAAATGCTAATTTTTTTAGAAACAAAGAAATAATGAATAATGACATTAATAATTTTTTTAGATTAATAAAATTATTTTTGAGTTATTTGAGATAATATTATTAAATTAAAAAATAGTAAAAAAGAAATAAACAAGTAGGTATAATATTATCTATCAAAACATATCAAGAAAACAAAAGCATAGTGACACAAAATATTATAAAAAAAAATTTAATTTGAAGAAGAAAAAAATCGAATATAAATTTAATAGAAATTACAAAAGAACAGGAGCAGAAGAAAAGAAAAAAAAATAATTATAAAAACGCAATTAAAAACCAAATGAGGGCTCTCAGTGTATACATGTATATATACATAAGGAAAAGCGTCGCCTCGACAAGTGAATCGCGGCGCCCTAGCGTCGCGACGCACAATCCGGACCCCATAAAGTTGAAAATGGTAGCAAAATTCTATCACTTGACGTCTGACGGAGCTGCCCGTCAATTGAAAGACGTCGTCTGACGTACCACGGTTACAGGGTAACATAATATTGCAGGGGGTTGGAAAATTGATATGGCGTCGCGACGCCTTAACACGGCGCATATACCGGTGACAATTTGCCGAATGAGCAGAGGCCGCGCTTCCACGTCCTCGAGAATCAGGAAAACATTAAGTGTTCTCCATTATATTGTAGAGATTTTTAGTATATGCACAATTTCAATTTATTATTATTATTATTATTATTGAACGTCGTCGGCGTCTTGACGGAACCGACGTCAAGCGTCGTTATAACGAAGCCTGATAACAGGCGAACATGGGAAATAGTTGGTGGCAAAGCGTCCCGACGCCTGTTGATAATTATAGATTTTTCCAACTCCCCCACTGACAACAAAACTCGTCGAGGGGTTGAAAATAGCAGCTGCGCAATGTTCACGACGCTTTAGTTTATCGAACCGCAGGCACACGTTTATGCGTTTGCCAGCCACGAGTTTGCGCTCATTGATTTTATTTCTTCAATGTATATATATATAGCTCAATAAGAGAGGAAATTTTCAAATTTACCCAATGTTGTTAAGTTAGTTGCCGGACTTAACATTTTTACTCAAAGTTCAAAATAAATAATAAAATTTTTACTTTTTGCCTTTAAATTACTCAATTTTACTAATAAATAGTTATTTATACTAAATTATTAGTAAAATTTACTAACTAAAATTAGTAAATTTTACTAATAAATAGGAAGTTCTACTAATTTATTAGTAAAATTTACTAACTCAGAAGCAAAAAATAAACATTGTAAAAAAATTGGTTAAAATGTTAAAAAATTTATTAATTTGAATTTAGATTGATTTTACACTAATTTATTAGTAAAACTTAATAACTAAAATTAGTAAATTTTACTAATAAATAGGAAGTTCTACTAATTTATTAGTAAAATTTACTAACTCAGAAGCAAAAAGTAAAAATGGTAAAAAAAATTGATTCAAATGTTAAAAAATTTATTAAGTTGAATTTTGACTAATTTTTGCTTTTAAATTAGCAAATTTATTAATTAATTACTAGAAATTATCGTTTATTAGTAAAATTTACTAATTAAAAAGCAAAAAAGTCAATCACTAATAGTAATTATAGTAAATTTTTAACATTTTAACTAATTTTTTTTACATTTTTACTATTTGCTTTTAAATTATTCAATTTTAGTAATAAATAGTTATTTACACTAATTTAATAGTAAAATTTACTAACTAAAATTAGTAAATTTTACTAATAAATACGAAGTTCTATTAATTTATTAGTAAAATTACTAACTCATAAGCAAAAAGTAAAAATGATAAAAAAATTGGTTAAAATGTTAAAAAATTTGTTAATTTGAATTTTGACTGATTTTTGCTTTTCAATTAGCAAATTTATTAATTAATTAGTAGACATTCTTCTTTATTAGTTAAATTTACTAATTAAAAAGCAAAAAACTGAGTCACTAATAGTAATTAGTAAATTTTTAACATTTTTACTAATTTTTTTTTTACATTTTTACTTTTTGCCTTTAATTTTTTCAATTTTACTAATAAATAGTTTTTTACACTAATTTATTAGTAAAATTTACTAATTCGAAAGCAAAAAGTCAGTCACTAATGTTAATTAGAAATTTTTTAACATTTTTACTATTTTTTTTTTACATTTTTACTTTTTGCTTTTAAATTATTTAATTTTATTAATAAATAGTTATTTACACTAATTTATTAGTAAAATTTAATAATTCAAAAGCAAGAAGTCAGTCCAAATTTAAATTAGTAAATTTTTTAAACATTTTTACTAATTTTTTTTACATTTTTAATTTTTTCTTAATAAGTAGAAAAATTTTAATGATAAATTACTAAACATTACTATTTAATAGTACAATTTTTGACTGAATGTTTACTTTTGAATTAGTAAATTTTACTCATAAACAGTAATAGCTACTATGTAATTAATAAATTTACTTATTCAAAAGAAAAAAGTCAAACGAAATTCAAATGACTAAATTTTTTAACATTTTTGCAAATTTCTTTCACATTTTTACTGTTTGCTTAGTAA